CCCCAGGAGAGGATTTATTTTTGTCATCGTACCTGAATTGAAAATAAATGAAAAAGTCAGTTGTAGGTTGTAATAAAATAATCATAATATCTCTCTCTCTCTCTCTCTCTCTCTCTCCACACACACACACGAAAAAAACCTAAAATAAATATATAAATTTGTGTAACTTTGTAGAATGTTTAGTAATTATAGGGAAATGGATGGAGACAATTTATGATGTGCAAATGCTGATAGAAAGGTGTTAGTAGTTGTTTTCAGTTGCAAGGAATGAATGTTTGTGCAATGTGGAAATGGTGTAAGAGTGTGCTTATATACGTAAGGGTATATAAAAGAGTGCTTCTGCCCACCCTTTTAAATGGAAGTGAGAACTGGGTATGATGGGAGAAATGTAGAGGTAAGTTCAGTGCATTGGGAATGGGATGCTTAAGAAGTGGGTGTGATAAAACAAGAAGAGAAGTCACAAATGACAATACATTGTATGGACAATACAAAAGTGAGTGACTAGTCTGGAAGAACTAGGTTGAGGTGGTTGGTAATATAGAGAGAAAGAGTGAGGACCAAATTGCCAAGCAAATATATGGAGGAAGAGTGAATCAGTTAGGAAAAGGGAAGACTGAGAAAGTTGTGATTTGCTTCAGTTGGAGAAATCCTCAAAAAGAAAGATGTGAGAAGTTTAAAGAACAGAAGGCAGTATATGAAGTGGTGTGGATGTGGTTGAAGGATGGTTCACAAGGATATAAAGATATTAAAAGGGATAGAGAATGGTATAAGCCAGTTTTAGCTATGTTTCTTTTTCTTATATCAGGCCTTCAGTATTGTTGGCTTAGTATTTGTTACTCCTTTTCTGCATTTTGCATAATGCTGCTTACCCCACAAGGGAATGGCATGATGGATATGTATGTTCACAAAACAAAAAAGTTTTAGTAAAGTCTCAGGCAATATCAAGAGAATCCTGTGACTCTTAAAAAGGTAAAGTCAAGGTCAACTCCTGAATATGTCCAATTTTAGGCTAGCAGATCTGGACAGCAAAAAAGTCTGGATTGCTACAAAGCAATACAGAAAACTCTGTGTTCCCACCTGATAGTTGCCAGGATGTTTGTAACCTGGATCTGATAGCCCTAAATTTAACAGATATTGGCAACAATACAGAATAATCTGCTCAGTACTAAAAATATCAATAGCATCCCTAGTGTGCTTCTCCAGTGAAATACAAAAATAGAATACTGTATTTTCAAACATTGAAAAGAAACAACATCCTTTCATTTCAGTATAAGTATGGATCGATATGAAGTGTTAATTAATATTAACATCCTGAAATACACATGGGTCTTTCTCTCAAGAAAGCTAGTATAAAAATGCTGCTTTTAAAGTGTACCAACTAGTTCTAATTACCTGCTTTTCATGGTTGTGTTGCTACCAGATTGCCCAGAATGGCATGAGTGACCCAACCACAGGACATTCCATGTTTTTGACATCATGCACTCACAAACAAAGCATGGATTAGCACATAAGCAAACTAACTTGTTTCCCCATTGCTTGGTCATGCTGAGTAAATTACAGGCACAGATTACTCTCAGGCTACCATGCTACTTCCTGGGGAATAAGCCCCATTAGTCTGACTCCTGAGTAAACATGCAAGAGAGAATTGCATGTTTTCAGGTATCTAAATTAAAAGAAAGTTTTTACACTTTACCAAAAATGAATGCCGTAGTGATGTCGACCAGAAATCAGATTTGCAAGCATATCTGATCTGTAGGTATCCGCGCCATTCCCTAAGAGAGCCTCCCTAAAGCGCCACTAAGGATTGGGTATCTGGTTTTGGTGGAG